AGTAAAGTTTTTCAACTGCATCTTCTTTGCAGAAACTTCATGCTGGAGACCCTATTAGGAATGGAACTATATGTTTTAACTCATTCTAACTGTCCACTAGTATACACAAGTATAGATGTACATCCCTAACTTCCTTCAGAATTAAAAATAAATGTATTGAATGGAACTCAAGGAAAGAGCAGAAGTAATATAGGAAAAAGTCAGGTTGGTATTATAGACAAGTAGCGTTAATACAGGATCCCTTTACTACAGACTATGCCGGTTCCCCAAGTAGTTAATGCCCTAGTGATTACATGGGAGGTTCCATCCAAAGCCGTGAGCAGAGCAGCGAGGCGGGCTGACATTCTGCAGAGCCCAGGGGAGCTGCATGCCTGCCCCACAGGGGCCGTGTGTCTCAGCCTGCTTGACCTCCCTGCCTGGTCTTTGAAATGCAGGGCTGACTCATGGTCTTTGAAGGGGTCTTCTGGTCATGCGTCCTGAGACCCCTCCTGTGGACCCAGGGCCGCCAGCACTCAGAAGGCTGCCCTGACCAGTCCTGTGGAGGAGCCGTGCAGACATAGCACACGAATTCTCATCACTCCTATACATGTTACAGGCAGTTTTTAAAAACCACCTAAGCCTGATATACTCAGGCAAGCTCTTCTTTATTCAGATTTCTTCATTCCTTCTTCCCTTGCTGAGCATGTTCTTCCCTTGTATAGACTGAATTTTCTCTCACATAAGTGCTAGTTACAAAAAGCGACATCCACAGCGCTTTCCTCCCACATGGGGTGGGCAGGGCCTGCTCCCTCTGGGGTCCCGCCGCCGGGAGCTCCAAGTGCAGCCAAGCTGGATGTTGACTGATACCTGAATTGGGTTTTTTGTTTTGCTTTGTTTTTATGTGAAGTATTGTCTGCAATTCTGGTATAGAAAAAGCTGTTTCTTACAGGAAGAGCAGATGTACTCTGTATCTGACATCTTTTAAGGCCATGCACTTGATATATTTAGGCCTCCATAATTTCCATTATGGTTTTACAGCGTTTACAGTGTAGGCAAATATGAATTAAATTATGTGCTATGTTAGGTGCACACGTGATTATTTTTATAGTTAAAGGCAACTCTGAGTAATCTTTAATATGTATTTTTTTCTCTTAGAATTCTCCTATTAGGTTTATTCAGAGTAGTTTATTATGTCTGTGTTTACTTTGTGAGCATTGTATGGATAAAATTGCTCATGTCTTCTTTCCCTCTCTACCCCACGCCCTTTCCTTTAGAAAACCCAGAAAATCCAACCCTTAAATCAACTGCTGTTGAAGGAGACCAAAGCAGAGACATCGGGACAAATATGATGGATGGACAAACGCTAAAGCAGTGGCTGGGGCTTTTTCCTTTTTCTTTTCTTTCTTTCTTTTTTTTTTTTTTTTTTTTTTTTTTTTTAGTTTGTTTGTTTTACTGAATGGACAAAGGCATAAGGACAGCTTATGTTAAACTTAACCATATTTAAAATTAAATTCCCTAAGAGGTATAGTATATATTTCTTACATAATAATGTGGCTACCAAATTCCAGAGTTACAGTGCATTGTAATGAAATCCAGCTTCAGATATGTGCTTTAACTATGGCTGCAAAGCAGACAAGCCCGCCTTTATTTGTACAGGAAGCTAGCAGTTTCATTGTTCTAGAGTTTTTGTGTTCAGTGATTTTATGACAGTCTGGAATGGCTGAAATTGCCTTTGCTGGGTAACCACGGGAACAGGGACTTGGGAGATAACGAGACCACCTAGCTCTCCACAGCCAGCTGAAAAGTCAAACCAAACCCCTGTCTGCAGTTTCATAAGTCCTGTGAAGGAACAGTATGTCCTACATGGATATCCCGAAATTTAGATTTGGTAACTAAAATCTTGCAAAGGTTTCTGATAATTTTGAGCTGCAGATACTTTAAAAAACAACAGATCGATGATTTTGTTTATTTCCTAGAAGACTTTCTTTTATAAATACTTTGTTTACATTTAAATGTATTAGTCTATATTTAATTTAAAATGATGAATCTAGTTTGAATCAGCTGTTATTCCAAGCTATCATGCTTCAGCTGTGTCAACAGCATTTATTTGTACTAATGCTACTGTTTCCATCAAAATTTGCCTGTGAACATATACAGTTCTTAATTTTCAAATGTCAGTTCTTAAGATATACTGTATGAAGCTATTGTCAGCTTCTCTATTTCAAAATGCAATCAACATATAACTATATTGGTATTAGAAAATATTTGCTTTTTAAAATATATTGATGTATGATAAAGATGATCTAATTTGTGAATGCATATGCGTGTGTGGTTACTTTTTATAATGTGAAATGGATAACGAATTTACTCAAAATAAAACATAGGTTAATGAGATGCCTGTGTTTGTGAAAAAAAAGTTTGAAATACTTTCCTGAAATTTTAATCCTTTAAAGAGTAAGAGAGTTCATTCTTAAGTAGTGAATAAGAGCAGCACAGTGATCTCAGCTGTAAATTACTCAGAATGATTAGTCAGAGTAAGACTTGCCCCCTCTTCTTTCCACCTGGCTGCTCCTTTGGCGGTGGATGTGTAGTGATTTGTAATATCCTTAATGAGTCCGTGACAGAATTACTCAACTACTTATTCTACTAGTAGCTAAAAATGCAGTAGTGTGAGGAACTGAACAGTGGTGGTAAAGAGATTCAGCAGAGTTTCTGTGAATTTCATTTAGCCATTTTGTTGCTGTTATCTTCTACCAGCCTCCGTCATACAGAACTGACTGCACTGTGACCTGGCGGATTTGTGGCGTGTGGCTAGAGAGCAGAACCCATCCACTCTTCCATGGTCAACACGGACTCGTACTTTAAATGAAACAAAAAATTTCAACTTAACTGTTAAATATTTGCCAAGTGAAAAGCTTTTGCTTTCCCGTCATGTATCTGAAAAAGGGCTGTGTGAGAGGAAAAACACCACTAGTAAAGTTAAGAAATGAAGGGAAGTCAGTCGTGCTCTTACAGTAGGCATCAAATTCTCAGTTCAATAGTTAGTCAGATTACTTTTAGATTTTTTTCCATAAATATGATAGCCTCTCGGTGTTTTGAAATCCTGTTAAAATGATACTTCCAAGCACAGATGTAAACAGAACTAAAAATGGTGACAATTAAGACCACCCTCACTGACACCAGGAACAAGACTGATACCCTTCGGAGAGTTCTGGCTAACAAGCCCGTGTAGTTCTCTCGCTAGGTGCAGACAGGGCAGGCTCTTCTTTTGTCCGCGGCTGCCAAGGCCTGACCTTTCCGTGGCTGAGTTTGGTTGTGTTCACTTCACAGCATTGTGTGCTGGTAGGTCAGTGGTGGGAAACCTTCTAGAGCTTTCAGTGACACAGACAGCCTTTTCTGGGTAACCACAGGCACAGGGACTTAGGAGGTAAGGAAGGTTTTCTTGTAGGGTTTCCTTTCTAGATCGTATCTATTAAAATGAGAACACTGCCTGAAGCCTCTTTTATTTTTCTCAAGCCTGATTAACTGGACGTACGTCAGATGGGAAGGCCAGTTTAAGGTAGCTCCTCTTCCTTTGTTTCTCTTTCTGGGCCTTAGAATTTCCAGCCTGTTAAAAACGTGTCAGCACTCTTGAATGGACCACAGGCATCAGTGAATGCCCAGGTGTGGGGGTGGCGAAGTCGGCCTCAAACTGCCTCTTACTGTTACCGCCTGTTCTCATTACTGTGGTGTCAGCAAAGTAGACACTAAGTGGGTTTTAGGTATGTTTAAGCATTAGCTAGCAACAGACACAAATCTATTATGCATTCTGTTAACACGGCTGATTTGTTAGCTCTATTCAGGATTCTCTGACTTGACCATCCTAAAGTTGTGTCTTGCTTCTGTGTCAGAAAATGACTAAGAAAGCCCCCAGGGTGTCTGCTATTCTTTTCCCCGTGGGGGAGAGTCCATGCTTACGTTCTGTTTAATGATGGTGGGTAACTGAAGTGCGCGCTTTGTGTAGCAGGATCCTACCAGTGTTCTGGGGAGAGAGGAAGGAGTGCGCAGGACTTGGGGGTTAGAACAGAGGGTGGACCTCTGGTGCGCCATGGGCACACTGCGTGTCCTTGGCCTTGCTTCCACTGAGGGACAGGTTACACTTACCTGTCAGGTAAAGTGTGCACAGTGCCTGAGGCAGTGGTGGCAAACCTTTTAGAGGCTGAGTGCCCAGGTGCAACCCGAAATCCACTTCCTGATCGCAGAATCCCAATACTGCACTTTAACCTGAATACTGAGGTTTTAGTTTAGAAAGCAAACTGTTATTTGATGCTCGGCTGCTGGGGGTGAATTGGCTTACATGAGCATGAAGAGGGCATTGTGTGTCCATTGCAGCACACATGCCATAGTTTCGCTGTCACTAGCCTAAGGTCACCATGCTTTTAAGGGCCCATGAAGATGTTTTATCTCTGGCAGAAAGCAAGACATATACTTTGCATTGGTAGAAAGATGACTTGTCCAGAATATGTTCACTCTGACATCAGTGAAATTATATGTAAGTAGTATAAATGAAGTATATATACTAAAAATTATATATATGTATGTGTGTGTGTATATATATAAAACTGTGTGTGTGTGCATGCATGTGTGTGCATCTAGTGCTTTCCAAAGTCACAGTGCGGTTCAGTTTCTGGGTCCCTCACTCTTTGTAAAATGAAGGTATTGAACTGGCTGGATGATCTTTGGTTCAGAGTCAGGCATCATGGAGCAGGCACTGGTCAAGACTGACTATGGCAGTTTTCCCCTAATTTGAGTCAGCAAGAAATGTTCTGTAACAGATGACAATGAGATGCTTACTGTACATCGGAGGAGCATGACTCGGAGACCACAGGTCCTCCCCTCAGGGGTTTCACTCTGGAACTGGGTTCGGTCTGTTGTCTGTCAAGTGCAGATATGGGAGCTGCATCCAGAGGTGTGATACCTCCGCCCAGCTAGCCTTGCAGCTGTTAACTAAGGCTGTTAGGACTGGGTTTAAATGCCAGACAGATTGCACAAACATCTCCTTTAATAAACGTGTGTCTAATATGTGTCTCGACTTGATAACAGCCCACAGCAGCTGAGGACAGGAGGTGGGGCCTTTCCTTGGTCACCCAGGGGACATCCTGTGTGAGTGCAGATGCCTCCGCTTCAGGGCCTGCTGTTATGCTGAGCATCATGTGTGTCGTGAGTCAGGGCAGAGTAGGGTCCACCACCCTGCCCAGAAACAGGAGCGTCCTGGAGGTTTCCTCATAGATCAGGAAGTGAAACGGCCGGTCCACTTTGACAGTGGGGGGAATGGTGTAAGCAGTAATTTGTGATATCGTTCCTGCCGCTGCCTCTGTGCCTTTTTCATCGACTTCGATCACTGATTGTTGTAGAACCTAGGAAAGGGAATAATTGGAAGACCATTTGAGGAGCAGTAGGGATTGAGACATTAATGGAGCCCTCGAAAGCTACACATCTGGCCTTGCCCCAGAGACTTGGGGGTGCAGGGCCATTTGTGTGAAGTTACAGTTGCTCTGAGAAGCACCTTAGGGAGCTCAGTGAAATGTAGAATGTGTGCAGTAAATTCTAGGCTTGGCTGACAGGAACTCTCTGGCAGGGACATTTATGCATACAGGCATCTAGTATTTATTGAACATGTACATTGTGCTACTGATTTTTAAGCTGAGCTGGTGTTTTGAGCTTTCTAGGTTCCCTGAGTCCTTTGAGCTTTATTTTGGCAGGCAGGGTGGGGGCAGGGCATGGTAGCTTTGTGGGCAGCGCCCTGGCATCTGGTGCTATGAGGCACTGGCTAGAGCAAGACAAAGGTCTTCCTCAATCCTAGTTGCCAATACTCAGGCCACCAGCCTGCTTGGGGACCCTTGTGTCCAGGAGCCAAATGTCATATGAATGATGTGCCTTTATAATGATTATAAGAGGAGACCATGGGTCGGGGATTTAGCTCAGCAGCATAAGTGCCTGCCTGGCAAGCACAAGGTCATGAGTTCAAGCCCCAGTACCAAAAAAAAAAAAAAAAAAAAAAGACCATGAAGACATCACCATAATAACACCTGGAAATATTTTAATTTCCTGGGATTAAAAATCCCTGAGAGCAAATAGAGGCAGAATATTTAATGGTTTATAAACTCGTGCTCATGGTGATGCTTTAACCATAGTATATTTCTTATGTTTTCCTCATCTTCACAGCAGAGACTCAGAACTGGTCTGCAGGACCGCTGTGTTTATCTCACCTTCCCTGTGATGGGAAGGCCTGGTGGCAGGCCCTGATTCACCTTCTGGATCTTGCTCAAGTAAACATCAATCACTTCAAATCGCTCTTAGAATTGAGAATTCCAGCCACATGAGAAAATAGACACCACATCTCGTGGCCACAGGAGGATGGAGTGAGCTGTGGTTGCCATGTGGCGGTGTGGCAGAGCATTGGCTTGCACAGGGAGGGCAGAGAGGTGAACAGAGGCCCGAAGAGCCAAAGCAGTTCCTGCAGGCCCAAGGAACTGTGGAGCATCCGGATGCTGCCTCCTGATCCAAGAGCACTTTCTTTGAGAAGCATGGATTAGCTGGGGAAATGGGGTGGGGGCAGCTGACTCAACTTTTTCTTAGTGGCTTTTGAGCTAGACCATAAAGGACCAGAAAGCATGAGTTAGGGAGAAGTTCCAGGTCAAGATTTTTTATTTAAATTAAGACAGTTATGGATGAGACTGCTTCTCAAAGAAAGGAAGAAGTCCCTGTCACTTAAATATGGAAGGGTGGGGCAGACAAACCAGAGGGCCAGTTGCCAGGGGTAGCTGAAGAGGAGGTATCCCCAAGAGATAGGAGGTCAGGCCACATGGTTTCTGGGGATTTCTTTCATGAGTTTTTGCAAGATAATATGGATGAGGAGGAGGCTATTGACACTCCAGTTCTAGGATAGATTTCTTCTTGAGCATTGGGTAAAAGCTCTACTGAAGAGTAATCAGTTGAAAAAAGGTATTTTAATAATGTGCTTTGCAATATTTAAGATGCCCAACTTGGATGCTGTTGCATGTCTTTGAAATTTAAATTATTTCTCTAGGCGTGTGATTAAAATTAAATGGTGGCACTTCCTGCTTAGGATTGGGCCCTGGTGAAGACCCGACTTGCCTTGGACACCTGCAGATTTCTTAGAGTAGCTGACAGTCCACTGAGGTCGGCCAAGGGTGAGAAGATCTTGGTGACTCCCATCTGCTTGAGCAGTTTGTGCATCTCATACTTCTGGTCCAGCTTGAACTTGGGAAAGAAAACCTCCATTTTCCTGTGGTGCAGACACAGATAATGATGCAACACGGACAGAGCCACTGCTTGTGAACACTTTTCCCTTTTTCCCCTTTTTTCCTTCTTCCAAGGTTATTTCCAACGCTATTTTAACAAGTCTCCCTCAGTGGACTGTGCCTCCCTCACACTTTTCTTTTATAATGGTCTATCTCAGAGGAAATACTTGCAGCTTATCAAGTGTTATCGCCAGCTCCTGTGAACCAGTCCTATTTCTCAGTTAATGCGTCACATTCTGTTTAGTCATCCATGCCATACTTGGTGTTCATTTCTCTATTTTTTAAAAACAATACAGACCACTCCAGTAGCTGCTTCCTGCATCCTGTAGACTCTGGCAGGGTGGCTGTTCCCAACCCCAAGGTCTCATGTCCCGGGAGAAGCCTAGGAGTCTGGAAATGGACAGGTGGTAGGGAATGTTCGACCTGCTCTCCTACCCAGAGTAATGATCACCCATATCGGAGTTCTCCTTTGAAAACAACATGATTGGAAAGATGATTCTGGTGGCCTGAAAATAAAACCATGAAAAGAGATTGATGCTAAATTTTAAAGAAATCCTAATTTCTTATTCTATCAAGTGTGGCCACAGATACCAATACTGATTCCACAAGGTGATTCAGAAGAACAATATACACTGAGCACCCAGAACTGTCTCCAGTGTGTCCAGGGCCTTAATGAAGATAAATTCCTGCTTCATCCTAGCATCACTGTCCATTGTCTGCCTGTCACATCATTGGGCCAGTCTGTCAGTGTGGAATATAATGGAGAACATCCTGTGTCCTGAAGATTAATTTATAAATTCATATAGCTAACATCTATTGGGAACTTTTTATGTTCAGACTGCTTTGCTAGGTGCTAAAGATTTTGAGAAAAATGAAAAAAGAATAAAGAAGATAAAACTAACAACAAGGCCCCTTAGCCAAACCGAACTCTGTGCTAAGTTCTGGGCTGATGGTACTCGGGACGCACAGCCATGGGTTCTGGCTGCAGCTGTCTTCCGAGACTGCCTGCTCTGTGTTTCCCACTCCTCTAAGCAGAGCCCCTCCCCAGGCGATCGGCGATGCCACCTCAGATCTCTGTCCCCAGCCTGGGCTTGCCCTGGTCTCCAGATCCAGTGGCCTTCTTGCCATCTCCATTTGGGTATCTTACAGCTATTCTGATCCAAATGTTTGGACTGAACCCTTGAATTTCCCCCAACCTATTCCACATTCTTCCCCATTCTAGAAAATGATATAACTACTCTTCTAAATGCTCAGGACAAAAGGTGTGCCACCGCCTCTGACAATGGCTTTGTCTCTATCACTGTCTGTGTGTGTGCATCTTGCCCTCTTTCTCTCTCCCTCTCCCTGCTCTATTTCTCTGCCTCCCTCTGTCTCCCCCACCCATTAAAATTCTTCCCAGTCACTCAGAATCCCGCCGTCATAGTCTCAGCTGCAGCACACCATCTGGATCATCATGGTGGCCTTCTACACGACTCTTGCAGCCGTGGCCGCCTCTGTCTTTTTCTCAGCCAGTAACTTGTATGATCCTTTAGCCTGATTGTGTTTCACCTGCACGCAGAGCCCTTCCATGGCTTCTCATCTCACCTGGGCAAAGCTCAGGCCTTTTCCCAGGCTTGAGAGGGGAGGTCCTGGGTGCCTGGGCCCCTGCTCCTTTCTGACTTGTCCACACACTACAGCCACCCTGGCCACTGTGATGTCCCTCACTCCCAGGCACTCTCTATCCCAGAACATTCCCTCTTCTGCCTATAGCACTCCTGTCCCCAGAGATAGCCACACAGATCAGACATTTGCTTACTGTCACCTTGTTAGTGAGGCTGACTTGCCTGCACCCTGCTGACACACTGTCTCTGTCTGGGTTACTCTTGGTCTGCCTTTATTACTTTGTAAATTCCAGGAGGACAGGGACCTGGCATGACGCTGCTCCCAGCGTCATAGATGTATTGTGGCAGGAGAAGCATCTGAATACTCACTGAGTGAATGCAAGAATGAGCCAGGCCTGTGGCAGATGCCAGGGAAGCAGGGAACAGCTCACACTGGCTCTGCCTTCGGGGAGCTGAGTGCCTCTGGGGCGGATGGGGACGAGCCACAATGCGATGGGTGAGGTGGGGGGAGCTTTTGCAAACATGGATGCAGTGTAGGGAAGTCGTACCTGGTTTTCATGTTCCTGAGCCACATTTCCACCAGGTCTACGGTCAGGTAGTCTTCCAGGTCGAGGTGGTCTCCCATTTTCTCCGTGAGTACCACCAGCATGGTGGCATTTCCTCGGTAGGGCAGTTGAAGAACGTGACAATGAAAATTGCTATCAAAGGTGGAGGCAAACTTTCCCTGTCTGTACATCATAGGCACCTTCACTGTCCTGTACTTGTCCAAGTGGAAAGTGTCAGCTTCCGTGAGAACAGGGTCAAAGGGGGTCAGCCACTTCCCTGAACAAGGAAAAGAAGATCCCATGCAGAAGCCATCCCCTTGGAAAGCACGGCTCCTGCTCCAGTCACACAATGGACAGGGTTCGAACCCCGCTCACTCCAACCAGGAAGGTGTTCCCTCATTGAGTTAGCCTGGACTACAGCTCAGGCAGGCGGAACACATTCCCCAAAGATCAGCTGTTCTCAGGGCGAAATCCAGGTTCCACCCACCAGCCCTATGGAATCACACAGAAAGCAAGAAGAGGCCAGCCCCAGCCCCCGCTCCCCTCCTTGTTCAGACCTGAACCAAACTCCCCCTCATTCTCCCTGGTGGAGGCTCCAGTCTGGAGAACACTTCAGGCCTCTGCCTGGCCCTGTCTGCTTGGGCAGCCTCTTGCTGCCACCCTGTCCAGTGCACACCCACACGTAAGCACATGTGTCACCCCAAAAAACAGCGTCTCTGGCCCACCCACTGCCTTGTGGGGCTCTGACAGCAGGGGACATGCAGCGTGTCCCTCCTTCAGGACCTGTCCCTGAATGTGGCCTGGTGACTTCAAGGTTGCTTCCTGTCCTGGGTCTTGGTGGGTTTCCTGGTGCCTGCTCTCTACCTCAGTGACATCAACACCACGTCCTGTACCTGGCATCAGGGTGCCAGGGAACCCTGTTTGTGTCTGGCCTCTGCCATTGATTGTTCACTTGATTGCCTATCAAGTTAACCTCTTCCACTTCCACATTCATCTCCTTTAAGAAGCAGACATTGGTCCCTGATCTACCTGCTGCATTGGCAGTTGGGAAGGCCAAAGGGTGTGTGTGCGTGCACAGGCTTGGACGTGCCAAGCACAACTGTGCACTTTACACTCATTATCCCACATAGCCTCCGAGCTGTAGCAGGTGGGAGGACCCCTATTTCCTGGGTAAAGAATACAAGGACTGATCCTGTCATTTGCCCAGGCCACAAAAGCAAAGCAGGAAGGAACAAAGATGCAACCTTTTGGGAATTATCCTACTCTGCTCCTTCCCAAGGACAGAAGGGACGTGGGCAGAGATGTTGTGACACCTGTAAGGAGCACAGGCAGTGGGCTTAGGAGGGCAGGGGCCTCGAATAACTCTCAGGCACCACTCAGAGCATCTGTGAAATTTGAGAACCTGTTCACAGGAAGTCCTTTGGCACAACCACAAGCTGACCAGAGGGACAAGAATGGCAGTGTGACAGGGCCCTTCGGCTTTGGGAGAACAGAACATGATCCAAGTACCTTTGAACAAGATGTAACCCACAAGAATTAATTTGGTTTCAGGGTTAATGCCATCAAAAAGCTGGGGAATTTTCCCCCTAGTCTCTTTGTTAATGTAATAATTCATAAGCCTTTGGGCCTGCGAGGCATTGTGGAAATTTGTAGGCACACATACTGTATCGAAATAGCTCTTGGATAAATTGCGGAAGGTCTCGTTGACTTCGAAATCCTTGTGGATGAAGGCAAAGCTGCCCTGGGCAAGGCCCAGCTCAGGCTGGCTGGAGAGAGTCTCTCTGAGCTGCTGGAAGAGTGCGGGCAGGAGCAGGGGCTGTGTCCTGCTTAGTGCTTGCAGGCCGAGTCCCTGCTCCACCTGGGCTCTGGTCTGTCCTTTGGCCCCCAGCATCAAGGCCCCCATGGCCAAGGTCATTCCGAGGGGGGAGAAGAACACGTTGCCGTCGTGCCTTGTGGAGATCTTCCGCAGCAGCCTGAACCCAAAGTTTGAAGTCTCATTGGAGAGCTGCTGCAGGCAGGTCCTCGGCCATGCCTTCTCCTGCTTTTCCTCTTCTTTTTCAGGGGGACCCTGCATATCCCCCCAAGTTTGGTTCTGAAGATCCTTGGACTCCAGAGTCTCCAGTCCTGTCTGATGCTCTGGTGAAAGGGGACCGAGGGCCCAGCTGGGCACCAGCAACTCCACCAGGAGGGCTGAGAGCAGGAGACCCAGTGTCACCCTCATGAGACCAGCAGCGAAGGCCAAGGACCCTCCTCTCAGCAGCAAGATTTCCTGTGCAGGAGAGAGGACAGAGATTGTCTTAGTACCTCATAAAGTGTCTCCTCCATGCAGTGGCAAATGTCACCCTCCAGAGTCTTACCTCTCTCTTGGTGGTCTTGGCTTGTGATTTCAGCCTTGACCAGGAAGCCCTGGGGCCAAGAGGGCACATTCACTCACCCCGGGAAAGGACAACCCTTCACACCAAGCTTCCTCCATTCCTACCCCTGCCGGGCCCTCAGGCAGCTCATGATCTCTGACTCCTTTCCTATTCAGTCAGGTCAGAGCCCCCTCTGAGGACAACAGGCATTGAAGAACACGGGCAGGTGTGGACATCGGAGCAGCGCTGGGGGATGGGGCAGCTCCCACCCTTTAGCTGATCTGCTTCAGGGAGCCCCTCTGTGCTGGGCCACAGAACCTTGGTGTGTGACATATGAGGCCAGAGATAATTAGGCAATGGAAGAGGAAAGCTTCCTCCACCCCAGTTTCCTGATGAGAATCCTCCTCCCCTCACCTCTGCTGCCTGTTCCTCCAGGCTGGCCTGCCTGCCTGCCTTCCTTCCTTCCTTCCTTCCTTCCTTCCTTCCTTCCTTCCTTCCTTCCTTCCTTCCCATCCTTTTTCCCTCCTTCCTTCCTTCTTTTCCTCTCTCCTCCCTCCTTCCTCCATCACCTAGGAGCTGCTGGCTTCGCTGCTCAAGCTTCCCACCTGGCAGTGACTCCAAGCCCACATCCTCACCTCTAGTTGTCCCCGACACTGCCACCTCTCCCAGCTGTCTCCACAGCCTCAGGCACCAGCCTGGCTTCTGTACTGTGCCATCTGCTATGTTCACACCAGTTCTAACCACACCTCTGCGTCCCAGAGGCTGGCTGGCAAGCCACCAGTATGGCCACTCTCCCCCCGTGCTCACTCTCTTCTGGACCCAGGAGGGCCTGGGACTGGGATGATACCCAGGAAAATGGGTGTAGGGGATGCCACAGGCCTCCTGGCTGCTCCCACCACAGAGACTTCACTCTGCAAAGGGTGGTGACAAGGAGATGCTCCTGTGCTTCTTGATGCAGAGGGCTGAGTTCTCTTGTGGGTCTGGAACAAAATCACACCCAGCTCCTGCTCGGTGTGTTGCTCCTTGCTTTGCCAGTGGTGCCACCGAACTTAAGGCTCTGTCCTTGCAGACTGAATGCGCCTCCCGTACTCTGTAGAGCGCTTCTGCTGCATTTCCCCACAGATTCGGGTTAGGAAATATCTCCTAACCCTGAACGGCAGTCCTCTGTCTTGTAGGCCACTGCCACTGTTGGGTAAGCACTTCCACCTTCTACTGCTCCTATGGAATAAATGTCTCTGTTCTTTAATAGACGGAGTCACTTTCTATACTACTATGACAAAATACCCGACATCTGCAATTTAAGGGAGAAGTTAATTTTGGCTCGTGTTTTTCGTCCATTGTTGGCCAAGCCAGGAATGGTGGGAGGGCTTGGGCAGAGGGAAGCTGCTCACATTATGGTAGCCAGGAAGAGGGAGAGAGAGAGGAGAGACAGAGAGAGACAGACAGACAGAGAGAGCAAGAGCGAGAGCGAGAGCGAGAGCGAGAGCGAGAGAGAGAGAGAGAGAGAGAGAGAGAGAGAGAAAGAGAGAGAGCGCCAGACAGAGAGACAGAGAAGACAGGAAGGGAGAAATACCCTTCTAGGTGACACCCCCACCCCTATCAACATGTCTTCCCACTAACATCCTCCCCTCTATGAAACCCCACCTGTGAGGGCATGAGGCTCTTGGGGAGACAACCCAGATCTGAACCCCAACAAAGCCCCATCCCCCAAGGGGGTGGTGGTAGGAGGTGGGGCCTTTGTGAAGTAATTAGATGTAGATAAAGTTGAAATGAGCCTTCTCTTTTTCCACAAAGGACATAGGAAGACAGCAGCCATCTATAAACTAGGATGCCAGCCCTCACCATAGCCCAGCCCTGCAGGCCCCAGACTGCTGGCCTCCGGGACCTCAAGAAATGCATCAGTTGTTCCAGCCTTATAGTCTGGGAGATTTTTGTTAAGGCAGCATGAACTAAGACATTTATGTTATAGTACTTACCTCTTTAACTTGTAAATTAAACCCTTGGCAGAATACTCCTGAATTAAGAATTACTTTTGTCTGTCCTCGGGAAATTACGCTGGCACAACAGCTAGATGCAAAGTCTCGCCTCACTGTTTCTGAAGCCCCCCATTCTGTCCCTGTCCGGCCTGAGCAGTGTGGCCTGTTCCTCTGGCTTTGTTCACGCGTGGAGCAGTGCAGAATCCCAATGTAGGGCTGTTTCTTGGCCTAGGGCAGCAGCAAGCTCGGCCATCATGCCTTCCTACATAGACCTGAGCTATAAAAAAACCATGTGCCCCTGAGCCTAGTGTGTCCTCCCTCTGCCCACGCGAGCTGTGGTGGATGAAACATCAAGGCTTCTGAGACCTTTTGCCTGGCCCGCTTTCGGCTGAGAAACCCGTGTATCTATGACATGCCTCTCACCCTCTCTGGCCCCAGCTGGCGTTTAATTTCCATCAAGTCTAGGCCTGAGGACTCTGCGCTGCCTACCCACCCGTGCCTCATGTCACAATCCCTAGAGACAACAGGAGTATCTCATCTCCCCAGTCTTCTCCTTTAGACCCTCCAAGGGCTCCCTGGCATCCTCTACCTCTTACCTTCAAGGGGCCTCAGGTGCCTGAGGAGATCATTCAGAGAAAAGATGAAAGCTTTTTCTCTGTAGCCCAAAGCCTTCTGCAAATATTTGCAATTCCAAAGTGTGATGCCCCTGTGGGACTGTTACTGATTAACATCCTGCTCTGAGGTGGTGAAGATTTCGGGAAACCAAAGACCCCGAGAGGGAGGCTTCCCACATCCCCCAGCTCCTCTACCATTCCCGACAGGATGGGGCTACACTGCAGGCTTCTGCTTTCTGCTCAGCTCCTTCTGGGATGGGGTGAGAGGGTTTTAAACCCTCTGCATGGCTCTGCCTAGCTCTGCATGCTGAACGTGATGAGAGAGAAAGCAATAGTGGCCTTCATTGCTGCTGCTCAGCCTTCTACCAGTGCTGGGCACCAAGTAAAATGTGGGGTAGGCACAAAGATGTTCAAGACCTGCTCTTAGGGGGACAGATGGGTACATCACTACTTATAGTACAGAGCCTCGCTCAAGGCAAATGTTGAGACTGAAAAATCAAGTATTCGATGTCAAGGCTAATGGGGACCCTTTAAGGCCCATCTTCTTACAACCTGCCACACTCTCTGTGTAACAATGCATACTTTATATGGCTCCTACCTGCAAATGAAAAAGATAACAATGCTCTATAACAGAAAATCAAAATCAAAGGAAATTATAAGACAAGACTATCATTCAATATAGTGATGCTCTGGCCTCACTGCCCCAGCCGAGGTGACGCCATGACCATGCCAGGGATCAGTGTGCTCGCAGGACGGAAGCAAGGCTATGGCAAAGAGCTTTGTTAAGCTGGGAGCTAGCTGATCAGATGACCGCTGAAGGACTATTGTGCTAAAGGACTGTGTTGCCAGGAAACTGACTCAGAAGTGGTTTATACAGAACATCAGCGATCACAGACAGGGAGGGGGGAACCTTTGCACAGGCAGTGATTAGTTTGCCCATGTGCAGTTCCTGACATATTACACAATGGTCAGGCTGGGTGAGTGGAGGAATGTCCCAGATAAGAAAGAGGAGGATAAGCAAAGGTAAATATGGAGTCGGGCCTGTTGGGGTTAGGGACTGGTGCTGATGCCACTAGAGGAGTGTCTCTATGTGCTGGCACTCCCTTTGTATTGACCATTTAATCTCACAACTGGTGTCATACCAGTAACATGACTTTCGGAAATGAAGAGTTAAGCTTGATCAAGTTCCAGACAAAACAAGACGTGTGTGTTGTGGGCTGTATCTTCATGTGCCCCCAAAGCCTCATGTGGTCATAAGTGGGGACTTTTGGAGGTGGCTAGATCTAGGTCTTGTGACACTGGAATTAAGGAAGCCCACCCTGGGTGAGGGTGGCACCACTCAAAAGGCGAGGGGTAGCCTAGAAGATATCAGAGGGAGAGGCAGGCTGCTCTGCAGCTGTCGTGATTGCTTGCTGCTTGCTTTCTGCCTGCCTTGCTCCTCCTTGATCTTCCTCTGCTGTGTTATTTTGCTTTGGAGCCGGCCAACCATGGACTGAAACTTCTACAAACTGTGAGCTAAATAAACCTTTCCTCTTATAACTTTGATGCTGGATATTTTGTCTCAGCAATGAGAAAAGTACCTAAGACAATGCATCTTCATGGAAAATTGAATGCGTAGCACAACTGAAAACTAGTTTTAAAAATATGAAATAAAACAGCTCTGGGACTGTTATGGTCAAAACTCAGAGAGTTTTTAAATGGATTTTTCATTCATGAATGTGAGATGGGACACTTGAGTCATGTGGAATTGGGGGTGATTTTCACACTGTGGGGGTGGGAATTATGAAGCATGTTTGGTTTGTCTGGCATTACTGACTCTCAATCACCAGAAGCCAACACTTGCTCAAACCTTTGTGAAAAATCAACCGTACCACACTGAGTTTTCAAAGTGTTCTTTTTGGTCAGTGTCTGTTCCCCCCTCAGCAGCATACTGGAGAAGTCAGATAGGGATGCTGATGAGCTTGCGGGGCTCAGCGCTGGCCTCCCCTGCCCAATTTGAGTACTGCAGCTTAGGGCTTCTTAGCTCCCTGGTGGTTCATGGACTGCTTCTGCAGTCGAGGACTAGCTGCTGTGCCAAGCATCGGGGTGGGAACATGGAGTGTGCCTGCCCTGCAGCTGGGCTCACCTGGGCTTCAGCAGTGTCACAGAAGTCCTCATGTTGGGTGGGGCTAGTACAGGTAGCACAACAGGGGCTGGGAAAACTACCTCCTCCCTCCACTTGAGTTCAAGCCACTCCAGGGCCAGTCCTCCTTCCACCGTTCTAGAGGTAGAAAATAAAATAATAAAAAACCAGGAAATCTCTGAAGCTCAAGGCAAGAGCAAATGCATATGTAGGTCTCCTGACCTGGCCTTTAGTAACTTTTCCCTCACTCTAATTATCTAAACATTTGTAAATATGGACTGCATCTTGTAACTTACACAGAATGAACTCTGGGAAAGTTCTGAGAACTAAGAAGCCCTTGAGATGACTCAGCATCCTGTCAATGATTCCTGTAAATGTTACCTAGAGATTCAAGGGAAGCCACCCAGGCTGGAGTGCCTATAATTTAAAATCAAAAAGCCTGATTAATCTGTATCCAGCACTTTTTACTTGCATAGTGCATATTTTTGTTAGAACAGACCTTCCTGAGCACATTTCCCCATAATCTTCAATAAATATATTTGCTTTTCATTTGCCATTGTATGTACAGTATTATGCAGTATTTTGTTCTTTGTATACAAGAGCCTTGAATCTATCCATTGGATCCATCCCATGATACCATTTGGTGAGCCAGCCAAGAGATAACAGACAACATTAGCCATTAGTAGCCAAGAAGCCCAGCTAAACAGGGAGGTAACTCTCTGCTTGGGGAGATTCTTCTCTGTCTTCTCCTAAGTTGAGTGCATGGAAAGATTCCTGGAGTGAGCAGCTAATCTGATCAATGTTTGAAGATGACCAGACAGTGGAGGAAAGGCCTTCGCAAACATCCTGAGCCCGCGCAGGAGGAGGACATGGAGATGGTGTGAGTGCTCCACCATCCCTAGGGCAGGTAGTTTGCATATAATATGAAGAAGGAAAAGAGGCTTGCTCCTCCCTTTTTAAACTCTTTTTGTTTTTGCTGTTTTCACCTCCATGAACTGCTGCCTCTTTGCCCCGCCACCCAGCTGATTAGACCGCTATAAACTATGAGCTAAGTAATTATTTTCTTCCTTAATTTTGGGCATCAGGCATATTGTCTCATCAATGAGAAAAAAGTAACACACAAGAGTATGTTTTGAGTTGGATCGGGAATTCAGCCCTACTAGGTCATATCCCTGAGACTAACTCCCAGAAAGGGCCTTGAAAAGGAACAACCCTTTTGAACAGGACAGGGATTAACCCCATAGATAGGCCTGTTAGGTTTCCCACAACTCCTGTTGCCCACAAAACCTATCTGGATATTCAACAATACAAAAACAAAACAAAACAAGCTCTGCAAATTTTCCAAAGATTTTAAAAATTTGCTGATGGTTTCCATACCTACCAATGGTCTTGACCTTACCTGGCAATATATCCAATTCATTCCGGTTTCTTGCTGCACAGCAGTAGAATAAGCTTAGGTCTATCAGTCAAAGCTCTGATAAAATCCAGCTTCTTCTCAACTCTGGCTTAAAAAAATGCTACAAAAGTATACTAACTTATACCAGGCATCTAGAAAAGGCCAGATTTTCTCAGGACAGTCTTTCATTAGGCAACCATTTCCAGATATAAAGAGAAAGGCCCAGAGATTTCAATAGGGCCCACACACAGGGTAAGTCAGTTGGTCCATGTGGCTTCTTCAGTCTTTAATAATCGTAATGAAATGAAAAACAAACAAACAAAACACTGAGTAAGAAAAGGAAGGCTGGCCTAAACCGTGCTCGCCCTATAAAGTCTGCAGCTATGAGGGGAAACAGAGGCAACCCAAAGAGCGGCAAAAGCAACTCAGAGTGCTTCAAGGACAAGCAACTGGGCACTGGGCAAGGGTGCGCTCTCTCAAGTCACCCAACCCTTGTCAGATCTGTCAGAACACAGTGGCCTTAGGGGAGGGACTGTCCTTGTTCCCAGAGAGAGATGAGGTCATCCACTATCCTGGTGGCCAGGGAAATATGCTCAGACAAATGATGGTGACTGAAGAGGTCTGTGTGGCCCCTGCACATGGACATCCTAGATGTAGCGGGTAGGCTCTGTGATGTCCCCATCTAACTCAACTCTAGCTTCTTACCGGGGTGAGCTTTTATTCCATTCCACAGTTGGCATGGGCCGTGACGGAGTTAGCTGTCGGTTTCTTTACCCCCCCTCTGAACTGCTCGCTGGAAGTGTCCTTTTGCAATCTGCCTTTGTGGTGATACTGTATGTCTCGTATCAGTAATTGGAAGAGTAATACCCATTCTGCTTAGGTCTACTTTGTCACTCAGATATCTGGCAAGCTGTGTCCTGGTTGACAGAGACCCAGCCAGCCTGACACAGTGGGGCTAATTTCCTTGCAGGGAGCTGATCCCTGAACATGGCATGGGAACACCCCAGGGAGGACTGTAAAGACCATTCTGACAGTCATTCAGCTGAAGCACCCTATTCTACACCTTTACAGAAGACAGTTTAACTTAAGAAAGAAGTTAGGCAAGAGGTAAAGTCCATTATTGATGAATTTTTGGCGACAAGCTTGCTGGTGCCTTGCCAGGCCCTGTGCAATACACTCATTTTCTCAACAATCAAGTCATCAGCAGAGTATCACATATCATGAGATCTCAGAGTCACTCAACAACATGGTGTGCTTCTGGTGACAGCTCTCTGGGCTGCACGATGTCATGGTGGAAGTACACTTGTCTATATCAGTAGAGTTTCTCTTTTGCTTATAATTTCCCTAAGAGCCAACTGAAGAAGCTCCACTCCAGTGGCCCACTCTAAATTAATCACTTCACTATGGTTCCACCTGTCACCTCCATATTCAGGTTACATCCACTTTGTATTATTAATATAAGGCAATGGAGATGAAACTCATGCATGAGTTTGGGCAACAAATCACATTCCACCAGAGTTGAGACCATTCACAGACCCCACTCTGTGAGTGGGAA